GTGTACTATTCCATTGTTTAAATGTTGTGGGCCATCAATTTTCCAAGTCTCTTTTCGTAAAATGTTTTTTAAAAAACTTTTTTGCGTGTAGCCCATGCTATAACCATATTAGTTCTCTTATTTTTGTTTATTATTTGTCCATAAGCTATATGTTATTTCCTGAGTCTTAAAATTTAAAGTTTCTTCTGTGTTTGTACTTCAATGTGGATTTCTTTTGTAACTTCAGAAAGTAATTTTAAATAATTAATATTAGCGACTTCTAAGTGATGTCGCAAATTTAATTATTTTACAAATAACCCCAAAGGATCTACATTGATCCAAAAGAATAATTATAAAATAGTATCAGTGACTTACAGGTGAATATGCAAATCAAATCAAATAATTATTTTCCTAACTCTCTGTCCTCCCTCCCAGACTTATATCTTAAAGAAATGTAATTGCTTTTACTTTGCCTTTCATACAGTTTTGTAGTTTCTCCAAATCCACAGAGGGCAGACAGGACAGGTCAACTTGTGATGTGTGTTACTGTTCCTTTGTGCCTGTCTCTTGTTAATCTGCCCTCTCACAAGGGTGGGTGGTTCAGACACGGCTGGGCTGCAGGGCTGGTCCTATCTCAGTGTTCTAGCTTCTGGGCCTCCATATCAGGTGACAGCTGCGTACACAGTTGGTGACGTTGTCCTGACACTTGAAGGGACCAGTGTTTGATTAAAGACTGTCATTTTATTATTTCTGCATTGATATTTCTCACGTATAATCAAATCATCTTTATGTGATTACTAAGTTAAATTTTTGTAAGGACGATTTGTCCTAGAATATGGAATATCTTAAAAAATTAAGTACATGTATATTATTAAAACCTTTAATATGCAGAAATTAAGATCAAGCTCCTATTTTTTCTAGGAGTATATGATATTAGTAAAGAATAGCTGGTGATAGATAGTTACATGTTCTGTATTTGTAGATCTGCCTATTGTCCTTTACCTGGTAAACATCAACAAGGTGGAATGAGAGGGATGTGTAGAAATATTCAAGAAGGTTTGGTCAGGCATAGAAATGAAAAAAAAAAAAAAAGGAAAAAACTAAGGCATAAGCCAGGGTCAGAGAAGTCCTAGGAATTTTAAGAGTTTCAGTATTTACCTTTGGAAAACCAGCGGAGCTTAATTGTTTTGCATTTTTAAAAATTCAATAGAATTGTTAAGTTTCAGTGATATGGGTGGAAAGGTTCCTCTCTGCTTCCACACCGATAGGATCTCACGTTTGATAAAACTTTGACCTTGAGGTATCTGTATTACTTAAGTGGGTTTGTGAGAACAGTGCTGTTGAAGTCCCCGCTGCGTGTGGAAGGTACATGGGGCTGCAGGACATTTGTGCGGGGCTGTGTGGGGCTGGAGGAATGTTCAGGAAGTTACTTCGGTCACTGCTGTTAGAGTCTACAGTGCAGAGGTTCTCAGCTGGGACGGATTTGGGGTGTGGGTAGCTGTCTTTGATTGTCAGAAACAAAACGTGTGCAGGCACTCCTGGCTTTGATTGCACCAGGGTCGTGCTCACTGGCCTGGAGGGAGGGACAGTCCCCGGAAGGAAGAGCTGCCCAGCCCAGAATGCAGTGGCCCTCAGACAAAGCATCAGTTCTTGTGTTGCAACATCCCTTGTTTTTAGTATTGATGAACACAAAATGGAACTTAAACAATGTCATTAGAGAAGTCAGTGTTGGGGTCACAGTGCTTTTGACCCTGTGAGATGTTTTAGGTCCACAACCTGGCAGCGTGGTGAGTCCAGAGGGAGGGAAAAAGTGAGGGTCTGGTTTTAGCCTTCAGGATTAGAAGTGATTGACAGGGGCTAAGCTTGCAGGTACATAGTGAATTCTTAAAAAAAAGTTAAGGTCTTTCTCTTCTCTGGAAAGAAATGATGAGTACATTTGTATTTGGACAAAGAGGGAACAGACAGTATAGAAAGTCAGAGAGATTATTGATCATGTAGCAATCTGAATTATAGTGTAAATTTTTTTATTAAGAAAAAGTCGAGGTTCATTGAGATGACAAATAAGAGAATAAAATGTTTTAAGTACAGTTGCCCCTTTGTATTCGCAGATTCTGCGTCTGCAGACTCACCCAACCAAGGATTGAGAATATTTAGGGCAAGTAAGTTAGGTCGTTGCTGACGTGTGCTGCGGAGTAGGGAGCCTGGCCCGTGATGAACGTTTACAGACTTTTTTCCTTGTCATTATTCCCTAAACAGTGCAGTGGAACAACTATTTACATGGCATTTGCCTCGTATTAGGTATGAGTAATCCAGAAAGGATTTAAATTACATGGGAGGATGCGCGCAGGTTTTATGCAGATGCGCCATTTCATTTCAGGAGCTGGAGCATCCGAGGGTGTGGGTGTCCGTGGGCGGTTGGGGCCAGGTCCTGGAGCCTGGCCCCCGAGGTTCCGCGGGATGACTGCCCTTTAATATTTTAGTTACATGGTTTCAGACGTCAGGATGTCTCTGCCGTTTGAGTTGTGCCTGTGAACTAGCGACTGCAAAAGGGGAGGGAAGGGAAGGAGAAAGTGTTTTAAAAAAAACCAACCAAATGAAAAGCACACGAAAAGGAGGCAGCGTCTCAGAAAACGGCAGTTCCGTGCTTCTGTGTGCCGAGGATAAAACCCCGGCGCGACCCCCGACTCCCCCTCTTTCCTGCCCAGCGCCTAATCTGGCGTCCAGTTGTGGCTGTTTTTCATGTGTGTGCAGGAGCAGTCCCACCGCACATCTCTTCTGCAACCTGGGTGAGGCCACCGTCACCTCTTGCCCAGATGGGTGCTCAGCCCCCTAACAGGCCTGCTTGCCTCCACCCTACTCCCTTACAGTCTCTCTTCAGTGTTACTTTGTATCCAGTTTCAGGTGTGCGGCATAGAGGTAAGCCAGGCATGTACTTTATAAAGTGTCCCTGGCATTTTAGGTTCCCACCTGGCACTCTGCGTAGTCACTACAACACTGTTGGCCACATTCCCTGTGCCCTACTTCCCATCCCCGTGACTGTTCTGTAACTACCGATTAGTCTCTTTAAATCTAAGTCACATTAGTCACTCCTGCCACCGTTAGCCTCTGGGCGGAAGAGCTGTAGCCATCCTGGTAAACAGCGTTGTCTTTGCAACGCCGTAGCTTTTCACCCATGGTCTTTCATTGAAACATCGCATTTTACTATAGGATGTTTTTTGTTCTGCTCCTCAAGAGTAAACACCTTGTGGCCAATGTTAGTAAATCCACCTCTAAAACTTAGAAGGCAAGTGGAAACCCTGACCTTCTATTCGCTCCGGGGGTCCTGCGGTGTCACAGGATTTCTCCTAGGGGAACCTTAGAGCGGTCAGTAGGCATTTGTGGTAGAGGGGTCAGGCGGGCACGCCCCCCGGGCCACTAGTCTCGTCACTGTTGGACACCCCGTTACACATTTGCAACTTGAAAACGATCTCCAGTATCATAGAGAAGGGCCAGTTACATTCAGTGTAGGTTGTATGTTCAAGAAGCCCATGTATGTGAGAAAGGGATGGACGTCATGGGCTAACCTCCAGTTATCTGAAATTGGATTCACTGAGTGTTTCCTACCAGTCTGTGTTGGTTTGGCTGTTCTGAGCTGTCTCACAAGGTGCAGCTTAGGGAATGCATTCCCCGTGCCAAGGACGGGTCAGAGCCAGTTCAGATGGCCAGGCCCTGACTCAAAGGTGGCGCCTTCGACTGCTGCAGGTGACCAGGTGAGTGTGGTTAAGTAGCTCTAGGAAAAATCCCCAACCTGAGCTGAGAAGGGGGAGAAAACGTCAGAGCGCCACCGCTCACGAGAGGGGGCGCACAGTATCCTCTTCTAGTGCGAAGACTGCCGTTGAGTTACCTGTTCTTTGGTTTGTTAATGATCAGAACCTAAAGTTCCAAGGTGAGAGCACCTCGGGGTTCTAGGAAGGAGAAATTATAAGGAAGTTCATGCAGAAATAGGAGAATTATGCTTAATGGTGCGTGTCTGTGTATAAGCTCAAAACTTCTGCAGTGGGTCGCTAACCAGTGTGGCTCTGTGGGTTGGGCTTGTCCCACAGACCGAAAGGTGGCGGGTTAGATTCCTGGTCAGGGCATGTGCCTGGGCTGCAGGCCAAGTCCGCAGCTGGGGTGCTTGCCAGAGGCAACTGATCCACGTTTCTCTCGCATATTGATGTTTCTCCCTCTCTCTAAAAATAAATAAAAGCTTAAGAAAAAAAAGAAAATACTGCCGTGGAAGTGCTACTTAAAGTAGCATGATTTTCATGTATAATGAAAGCCTTCAACTGATTCTTAGGATGTGTGTTGCAGAGGTGACCGTCTTTGCAGGTCATTATTTAGAAACAAGTATGTCATATGCATTGGTAAGAAACGATTTTTGTCTTCTCATTATTTTATGATACTATGAATATATTGTAGAAAAAAAATTAAAGGACTAATCGTAGTTCTTTCCAAACAGCTTTTATCGAAACATTTGCATTTTACTACAAGGCTTTTGGTCTGCCCCTCAAAGAGAACGCCTAATGAAAATGTTACTGAATCCACCTTTCTACTTCGGGAACTTGAAAAACGGAATAATGTAAAGGGGTCTAATTGTATTTGTATTCAATACAGTGTCGATATCAGTAAGAGAAGGATGATTACATTGCATAACTGCAATGTGATTGCAATTACGCAGCAAGGCTTTGCGTTTCTGGTAACAAAGCTAATATATTTCTTCTTAGGAATGATGCAATTCCAAAGCAAAAATTTGATGTCATTCTAACGTGTCTGCTCTCACTTGCTGAGTACAATGTGTCCCTGGTAAAGGTGAGCAAGAGATCTGTCTTATTGTAGATAATACACCTGTGAAGTAAGCTCTCAGCACAGGTGGAAGTTGATCTGCGTGGAGTTGCTTTATGAATAGCCCTTTGAGCGAACTCTGTAGTTCTGTATGTGGTTTTAAATCGCTGTAAATTTGTAGGCAGGTACATATTACAATTGTCTGTTTTTCTTTTTAGGGCTCATGTAATCAAAGAAGTTTTTGTTGTGTGTATCTTTTCAGAACACAACAGGAATTGAAAATGAATCAGGTGAGTTTAAATGTAAGCATTTATACAAATACGTTACCTAGATGTTAGACTAGTTTTTGATTTTTAAAGGATAGTAACACACATTAATTTCCTCCCAGATTTTCCTTTCTGTTCCTAAAGCCATTAACGCATTCATTGCTCCCTAGTTTGCATTTGTTGTGGAGGGTGCGTCTGCGGGCGTGGGCTGGCACCTCTGTGGGACCCTGAGCAGAGGGCTCATTCATTCTTACGGACCTGAGTTCAGGCTTTCTTTTCTCTTCTTCTTTTTTTTTTTTTTTTTACCTCTCCCCTGCCACTCTGGTGTTAATGTGTTGTTTTTGCTTTGAAGCTCACCAAGTTTTCATTTTTAATACTTTTTATTTTGTAAATCCCCATTGGGTTGAAAGGAGAAGATGGGAAGCTTTTTCTTTGAGAGACCAAAACTGACCAAATGGGAACCTTTAAGCTGTTCTGTCCTTGAAAAACCCGCTCGGGGAGTAGCAAAAAGAGGGCAGATATGGAAATGGAAGGTGTGCCCCCTGTGCTTCTCCTTACGGGGTGGGGGCGGGGGGGAGGGGCGGGGGGGGGGTGCCTGGAGATTAAACAGTTCTGCTGTGGGCGTTTCTGTGGCCTCAAGGGCGTTCTTTCTGAGAAATAGAACCAGTGGATTTAATACATCCTAAAGCAGGATTCTTATTTTCTGGTCTTAATATTATTCACTTGCAGTTATAGAAATTTATGGGTGTCAGAAACATTTTTTTAAAGAACCATTCTTTTTTGAAATCTTTATTACCAGATTTAAAAAAATATGAAGGACAAAACTTAAAAATGTGAAGTCTATAATTTTTAGTGCTTAGCTTAAAACTACCAGACTTGAAAATATTTTGTATCCCCTTTTTGTATCTCATCAACTGAAACTCTGGACACCTTTTTATCATTTACAGGTGCCTGTAGCTGAGATCACAAGTCCAATTTTATTAGGTGGCCAAGTTTAATAAATTCAGTCCTGTGTTGCATTGAGAGATGTGAAATTTTTGGAATGGATTCTTTGATTTCTTTTCATTACTTTCTTTATCAAAATATGTTTATTTTAATACAAAGGGCCATACGTCATAAAAAATGAATCTGGTGAACACATGGGGCACACGGTTTCCATTATTTTAAAAGTTGGAGATTTACTGACATGCTTTTGAAGACAAATTGTTTTTGAAACGGGGAAATTGGGGAGGGAAGAGAACAGAGCGGGCTTGCACGGTCCTCGCCCATCGTAGCTTCGCGCGTGTGCATGTCACGGACTTCACATGTCTCCCCGGGCTAAGACTGACCCTTCATGTGGACCTTGTCACCCAGAGGAACTTGCTTTGCTAGTGGCCCGGGAACTGTTGTTAGAGGAGTCTGGACTTTGGATTGGAATGACCCAGAACGTCTCCAAAGTGGAATTGAAATACTGACCTCATTTTGTTGCCTTGCTCTTCGAGTCATTCACGTCAGCGGCCACAGCTTTCACCTTAGGCTTCATGATACTTTAATTCCTATCTCTTATTTGGCTGGTAGTGTTTTATTTCTGTTATTTTATTTCTTTGACACTTCACACTTTTGCTTTAATATTTCATTTTTATAGCAAATGAGCTTGAGTTTCAAGAGAGTCCACATACCACTCAAAAGAGTTGTAATCATTTCACTTTTTGGCTCTTTTGCAATTTCATTTTGCTTATGACAAGTTTTAATATCAGATCCGCGGAGGGCTGCCTTTGATGCCAAATGTCAAGGACCAGTTCCTCTCATGTTTCTAATGGTTAGCACGTTTCTGGTTTGGGTATGGTTTAAGTGGTCTGGTAGTAACGAAACTTTCATTTGTATTATAAAAATTGTCTGCCTTTTATGAGTAAAATTTTCAGCAACTTTAGTTATATTTTCATTATTCAAGAAATATTAGTTACATGATATTTAGTCCTGATTATTAGGTCATGGCATAAAATCTATGAGTGTTTTTCAACAGTTGTTCCAGTAATTTTTAAAATTTAAGAATTGTTTCAGGACATTGTATGTTTTTATCTCTTGTATTTATTCTTCTTATTTGCAGCCAGTGAAAATGAGCAATAAATGCTTGAAAGTGTCAAAATAGCTACACAAAATTTAGATATTAAAGTAGTTTTCACTTGAAGCAGATTGGTTTTTAAGTTAAACCTTGGTGGTGAGTTTAGGGTTAGGTTTTTCACTTTAGGGACCGACCTGCATTGCATCGGTGAGTGCTGGCTGTCAGATCTGTGCCTTATGATGGGCATGGTCTCCAGGACAGTCACCCAGAGTCACTCATTTATGTGTGCTGGACAGGCGAGTTTCAGGGACCGAGGGACCCTTGGAGCAAGCGTACCGTGTTGTTTACAAGTTAGCCCTTCCGAGGACACGCGAGTACAAAGCCCGCAGCCCCTGCATCTGAAGCACTGACGGCTGAAGCGGCGTCCGGACTGCTGGGCGTTGTCGATGTGTTTCCAGTCCTGCCTGGTGCACTCGCTGGCCAGGCTGTCCCTCCAGCCTCAGCCCTGGGCTCCCGGAGCCCCGACGCCTACATGTTCTTTGTCCGTCCTTCTCTTCCGGGCCGCTCTCCACTCAGCACTCATCCCTCTCTCCCCATTCTTGTCTTCCCGACTTAGAACCCAGCCCGGCTCTGCATGGGGGCCTTTGTCCCTCCGGCCGAGCCGGGCCGGGGCCTGGTCGGCAGGCAGGAGGAGCAGTCTGTACTTCTTCCCTCGCTGTCCACTTTCTTTTCTCTCCGTTTGCATCGTACGTGTCCTTCGCTCCATTCACTGTACACACCTACCTTAATGTTTAACTTTGAGACGGTCCCCTATCTTCCCTCTCTTTTCCCTAGACGTATCTAGGAGAATCCAGAACCGTACAAAGGGCTCTCTCATTGAATAAAGAGTTGAGAATGCTTTGTAGCTTCTTACCACCTTTCCTTCAATGCCTTTTTGTTATAATGTTGGTGAGGTGCCTTAGGAAGTGAACTCTTGCTTATGTCACTTAGTCCTTTGTAAAATTAGTTTTATTTTACGACATTTCACTGAAAGTTGCAGAACCTATCGACATTAAATGAGGACTTCCTATGCTTTACAGAACATCTAAGGTGAGTGAGGTTCCATAATGCCAATATGCCCACAGTACCTTAACGCAGATATGCTAGAGTTTAGTACCACGTCCTGTCTATTGAGTGCTTACTCAACATGCCAGGCACTTCGTTAAGTGTATTGAACATACATTTTGTTACCAATTCAGTCTTTGCACCTACTCTGGGAAGTACAGGTTTTAGAGCCATTTTATGGTTGAAGACACTGAGGCCCAGGGAGGCAGCCGTGGCTTGCCCACACCCACTCAGACAGTGAGTGGCAGACCGCTCGGTCACACCGGGCCCAGCGGATCGCAGAGCCCAGGCTCTTGCTTGGCGAGCCGCACCGCCGTGCCAGTGAGGGCAGCTGTGTTTGCCGCGCCGGACGGGCGGCTCCGAGGGCGTAGGGGCTCCGCAGAGCAGCGCTTGTTTCTTGTTCTCAGCGCACATCCGTTGTGGGTGTGCTGTTGGAGTTGCTCAAGAGCTGAGGGTGGTGAAGGCTTTGTCTCAACACACGCCACTTCTGTTTATGTTTAATTGGCCGGTTAGCCACCTGGCTGCATCTACTTGAAAACTCAGGCTGGGGGAGCAGTGCTGTCCGTGAGGTGACTGGAGGAGGGGAGACCAAAGTATTTGGGTGCAGTCCCAGTGATTCTTCCAGCTTCTTGAGATATAATTAGCCTATGCCATTATGTAGGCTCTGACCATAATGACTTAATACAGTGGCCTTGATTACTAATTGACAGTCATGCTTAATTTTTTAAAAAGAATCCGTGTAACTCAAATTGTTACTGATATTTTAAACTTTCTGTCAGTGTAGTAGCATATGATTATAGCATCTCTGTATCCTGATCAATAATCTATCGTATTGCCAGTAACCAGTAGCAAAGCAACTTGGCAATTTAGCCTTCTAAATTTTTCAAGTTTTATATAACAAAATAACAAAGGAAGCTTTTCATCACTTGATGTTGCAAATCCAACCCTGAAAATTGTGATAAGCCACCCAGAGTTCCATTATCGGAACTGCTGTGAATGCTCAGCCCGTCCCTCATCCTGCACACACGGCATCCCAGGGTGCTGCGGGCTCTGCCCTGCTACCTGCCCATGTGTAGAGGGAGGCAGTGCGGCACGGCAGCGTGCCCAGGTATGCTGGGTGGAGGTGAGGGTTCTCTGGATGGCATGATCAGAGAAGGCTCTCTGGAGAGGTGACTAGCAACAGAATAATAATAAACCAATCACATTAATAATAACAACAACTAATACTTGAATAATAGACCCAAGGAATAACCAGGAACCAGATATGTGAGGATTTGGAGAGAGGAAATTCTAGGCAGAGTGAACAAAATAGAGCAGAGGACTCGAGGTGGGAGTGAGCTTGCTAGTCCCAGGCACAGGAGCAAGCGGGGGCTGGAGCTTGGCCAGCATCTGGGACTCGGGGCCAGGAGGAAGGTGGGCTGAGAGGCAAGGGCCAGACTTGGAGGTGCTTAAAGGCCATGGAAAGAAGTTTATGTTTTATTCTAAGTTCAGTGGGAGGCCACTGGACAGTGACATTCACTTCGATTTCCACTTTTAGAACATCATGTTCACTGTGCCGTGGAGACTGGATGGTAAGGGGCAAGCGTGCGGTAGTGTGTGTGTTCACTGTCGAGGTTAACACGTGTTTGAGGACAGTTGCCTCCCCTGGACAACCTGATGGACCTCCGGCTTCGTGGGAGCGCTCTTGCGTGCCACAGCCGGTTTGACCGCGCTGTTCCTTGCCAGAGACGGCGTGCGAGATTTTCTTGTTCGGAGTCCCCATCTGTTTATTGTTATTGCAGCCCTGCTCATTCCTTCACACAGTACAATTGAATGCTCTTTCTGTAAACTGGAGCTTGTTTGATTTTTTCCTCCCCATTGTTTGCCCCAAGAATAGTAG